ACGGCTCTCTCCGCAGACGCGGGACCATGTGGGCCTGGGCGCTGTGGGCGCTCCCTCTGCTCTGCCCAGGCAGCCTGGCAGGTAGGTGGGCTGTGCGCCTGCTGGGCTGGGCTGGGCTGCGTGGGTCATTGCCTTCTCTGGACAGGAATCGCCCATTGAGAGCAGAGAGGCACTGGGCCCCGGGCACAGGAGGGGCAGCAGGGGGTTTGTGGGCCCTGCAGCGGGGGTTGGGGCCGTGTGCACGTGGATGTATGTGGACGCATGTGCCGACGTGGTAAGATGGCCTGTCATATTTCCCAAGGGACGGAGTGAGAGTCTTCCCACGGCCCCGATGAGGAGAAAATGCCAGACCTCACAGCTCACCAACCAACCCCGCGTCCGGTCGCTGTTTTCCTCAAAGAGCTCGATGCTGGCATATTCCCATGCACTGAAGTACTGTGTGTGTGTGTCTGTGTGTGTTTCAGCTCTGCCAGCCAAGCCCGAGAACATTTCTTGCATCTACTACTACGAGAAGAATTTTACCTGCACCTGGAGCCCAGAGAAAGAAGCCAGTCACACGTGGTACAGGGTCAGGAGGACTCAGTAAGTGCAGGGCTGTGTGCCGGAGGGAGGGGAGAGGGGAGGAGGCGGGCTCAGGACGTCTGTGTTCTCAGTGACAGCTTCTGAGTGGCCCCTGGGGCATTCAGCGGGGTGACCCCTCTGGCATCCAGCCGCCAGGTGATGGCGGGTGATGGTGTGGCTGCTTGCAGCCCAGCTGACAGGATCAGACACTGCAGGGGGGAAGGTGGCGGGGGGTGGCTGTGGTCTGGCTGACAGCTGTTCCCGGTTACACACATAGGGGACAGATCTGTCTATTTACTGTATTCAGCTGCATTCTTTCTCCTCCTAGAACGTGTGATAAAGCTTTAATTCTTCGGGGCCAGGGTTGGAGGGAGGGTGCCTTTTCTGCCACCAACTCGCTGTGTGACCCTGTCGTCAGTGACCACCAGGATGAATTCCAACTTTTCACTGCCTCACACTTCCCTTGTTCAAATTCTATTAGAAAAATTATAAAATCTATAATCATAAAAGCGTAATATGTTAATTAGACCGGACAGCCGAACGACTTTCCGGACGTCCTTCCAGATGAAGCTGCTGTGGTAGGGGCCAAGGCAGAGGCAGTTAGAGCTTAGGGGCAATCAGGCAGGCAGGCAAGTGGTTAGGGGCGATCAGACAGGCAGGCAAGAGCTTGGGGGCAATCAGACAGGCAGGCAAGCAGTTAGGAGCCAGCGTTCCTGGATTGCAAGAGGGTGTAGGCCAGGCTGAGGGACCCACCGCCCCAGGCACAAATTTTGTGTACCAGGCCTCTAGGGTTATTATAATTCCAGCCCCAAGCCAGGCGACTTAGTGAATGTGGACAGGGCTTCTGTGAAAGTTTGAAAATAGCTCAGGAGACCCACTGCGTCCTCCATGCTGCTGGGAGCCGGGCGGCCCCGCGGGACCTGTCACAGGTGGTCTGTCGGTTTTTTCTGCTTCAAAGCGAGCCTCGTGGTCCCAGCTTTATTCTGTTCGGTGTTTAAATGCAAGAGCTCATGAATCCTCCTTTTTTTCACTCCTGTAACTGGTCACCGTGCGGCAAGGGGAGCCCACTCGTGTTTTACAGAAGAGGGGCCAGTGCCTGGCGGCCCTGTGGCGGTGGCGGTGGCAGGTGTCCCCGGGGCCCAGCAGGGCCTGAGGGGCGAGAGCAGGTCTTAGGCTCCGAGGGAGGCGGCCAGCCACCTTCCCAGCAGGAGAGCCACGCACACAGTGGTAACCCAGGACCTGTTTCCAACAACACCTCCCTGTAGACACTGAATGTGCAGCCATGTACATCTTCACAGGCCACAGAATCGTCCTTTACTTTCTCCCTGACCGTTTAGCCGTGCAGAGCTGGTGCTTAGCCTGTGGGCCCCGCAGGACGGGGTGGGCTGCCTCTGACCTCCCGGCTGTGGTTCGCCGACCCCTGGAAAGGCCCTGTGACCCAGGGTCCACGTGACTTCCACCTCCCGTGCGCCCTGTTCCAGGTCCTCCTCTCCTGGCCCCAGCCTCGTCCGGCTCCTGCCGAACCCCAGAGCCACGTGGCTAGCGCTGCACCCACGGGGCAGGGGGTCCTGCCGATGTGCGTGCGGGCTTGTCGTGAGCTTATAGCTGGACAGAGTTTAAGTGATCTGTCTTGGAAAATAATTTCAGTGAGTTTTCTGAAAACAGTATATACCTATGGTAAATAATTTGATCTGAAAGACATAAAGAATATTAAAAATCACCCCAAAGCCCATCACCAAAGGTAACAACTTTAGCATTTTGATGATGACCTTTCCAGATACCTCTAAGAATAGTTATGTAAATGCACAAGTTGATATAAATGTGATTATTTGGTAGATAACACGCATCCTGCTCTTTTTCGCCAATAATAAGAGTATGGGCATCTTCCCGTGTGAGTAAATGTAGACGTATTAAAAACTATCATTTTAAATTCTATTTCTGTATCTGCCATCATTTATTTAACAAATCTTCTTTGATTCTTTTCTGTTATGAAGCAGCTCTCAAGGTTAGAATCTGGGCTTCCAGGGGCCCATTCATCACTTGTGACCGATAGGAAAGGCATGACAACGGTAGCTTCTGAGGGCTTGTGGGGCCCAGGGAGGTCTCCGTGGCCTCAACCGCGGCAGCAGCGCGCAGTGAACTGCATCTCTCCATGGAGGGGAGGGAGGACTGTGGGGCGAGGGGGTACCACCCTCTGGTCTGTTCTCAAGAGAAAGCCAGACGGAACCTAACAAAGACGCCCTTAACACGGTATGCCTGGCTGGGTTTCCACACGCTGAACCAGCTCACACTGAGCCGCTTTTTCCTCCCAAGCTCTTATGGACGTAAAAGTGACACTTGTGATTCTACAAGCGAGACCCCCACTTCGTGCTCCTTCCTAACTTCAATCACAATCCCAGACAATTACACCATCCAAGTGGAGGCTCGGAATGCAGACGGGGCCGTGGAGTCTGCTGTGACACATTGGCGCTTAGATACCATAGGTGAGTGTTATTAGCTACCTTCTCTGCTCTTTTCTCAAAGATACCACCTCCTCCTTCTTTTGTTCATCCTCACCTGTGGTATTTTTTACCCCTGATTTTTAGAGAGAGTGGAAGGGAGGGGGAGGCAGAAACATCGATGTGGGAGAGACCCATCTATTGGTTGCCTCCCCCATGGGGCTGGGGATAGAGCCTGCAACTGAGGTACGTGCCCTTGACTGGGAATCGTACCCGGGACCCTTCGGTCCATGGGCTGACGTTCTATCCACTGAGCCAAGCCGGCCAGGGCGAGGGGACCTTTTCTTGATGGGGTGTTCATTTGGCTGCTGCAAACCAGACCTCTGACTATTTCCAGAGCTCCGACCAGATCAGTGGAGGCACTTTCTGTGGGGTTTTTGCCTGTTTGTTTTTAGTGTTTCTATGGGGGAATGAAACCTTGGAATTTCCTCGCCATCATTTTGCTGACATCACTCAATATACATCGGTTCTCAATGAGCAGTTCTGCGGTGAAGATTGATGACACGTCTCCTGGGCGACGTACTTGTGCACAACAGGAATCGTGTCCAGGCTGGCGGGAGAAGCCTGGTTTCCTGGGAAGGGCGGGGTTTTGGAGTGGGTGCAAGTGAATTCCAGCCTGGCTCCCAGGAGAAAGTTAACCTTCAAAACCCCAGTGTTACTTCTAGCAATGAGGATAGCACCTGTTAGGGGGCTGAGAGGCGCTGCTGCAATGATGTGGAGCTTGTTTGGAAAGCAAAAGGCAGGTGTGGGAGCCACTGACACATGTTCACACCTCTCACTGGTGGTTCTGCCCTAAGCGGCCTCAGGAACCACCGAGACCAGACAGAGGTGCAGCTGTGCCCTCACTCACTCACCCAGCAAAGCCCCTGCTCCTGGGCCAGGTGTTCATGCCGGCTCTGTGCCCGCACAGCTCCGCTTCAGGGAGCCTTACCGGGAGAAGCCGGGAGCATTGTGAACGCCCAGTGACAGAGACCAGGGCAGACAAATCCTGCTCACCCAGGAGATGGAACATTCAGAAGCTTGGAAACAATCGTGTTTTGAAGACTTGTAATGAAAGATGGCGCATATGCTGATTGCATAATTTTATTTAAAAAGAGGAAGCCTCGCTCTAGCTGGTTGCTCAGTGGTTAGGACGTCGGACTGGAAGGTTGCGGACTCAATTCCCAGTCAAGGGCACATACCTGGTTTGCAGATTCAATCCCTGACCTGGTTGAGGACCAAGCATGAGGCAACCAATCGATGTGTCTTTCTCTTTCTCTCTCCCACCTCTCCCTCCCTCCCTCCCCTCCCTTCTACTCTCTAAAAATCAATGGAAAAGGAATTCTCACTCCTCGGGTGAGGATTTTAAAGTTAAAAAAAGAGAAAGGCTTTATTTAGCACAACATTAATTTTTTTTTTTGGAAAAATATGCAGAGTTACATAGAAAAAAGCCTGAAAAGATACCTGTGTGTTAATAATGGTTATCTCTGGTTGATGGCATTATGGATCATTTAATGTTTTCCTTTGTATTTTCCGTTTAAATTTTTTTGAATGAGCATATGTTACGTAATAACCAGAAAAAAATACACATTTTCAAAGAGAAAGATTTGGGACAAGAATGTTTGTGGTGCTCAGAGGCGAGGCGAGGAGCTTCCCACGGGCACAGGCTCTCCGTCCTGGTGTCTGGAGAGGCGGGCAGGGGCGTGGCAGTGGCGGGCCGCCCACTTTGCAGTCCTCGGCCTCTTCTGTCCGTTCTGCTCCACTCGCCTGGCCCAGCAGCAAGAGGCTGATTTACAGAGACGACAGGGATGTGTGCTCCCTCCTCGGACGTTCCTCCCCCCGTTTGCCATTGCACCTGCCACAGCCGGCACAGAGCATGCACCAGCACTCCCCCCTGGGGCGTTCTTCAGGTGGGGCAGATGTTATGAGCACGTTCTGATCCGCAAATATGATTTTTATTTTCAGTAAAAATGGACCCACCTGTGATTTCCAGTGTGAAACCAGTTTTGGGCTTCAAACGGATGCTTCAGATCCAATGGGCCAAGCCCGAGCTGGCCCCCGCCTCTTCCGCGTTGCAGTGCCGGCTTCGGCTCAGAACAGCCAACAGCACCCACTGGGTGAGTCTTGCCACGGGGTGTTCCGACCAGGGCCCAGAGCGGAGGTTGACTGGCCGTGGTGCCGAGCTGGACTCGCTCTCTCCTCTCCGCAGTGAGAACGGAGACAGAGCGCAGCGCGTCCTCCTGCCGCCCTGGGCGGGAGCGTTTCCCCGCAGGCGCCTGCGTGCTGAGCGCCCCGGCGCGTAGAGACCTTCCTTTTGCATCCACCTCGCTTGTGTCTCGCTGTGTTGGCTGCCAGAGGTGCTGGGCGTGGCATTTCCTTTTCTATGTAATGAAACTGGGAGATAAAATACACATTCGGCAAAGTGAGCGGAACCTAATATGCACTTAACAGACTGTCATTGTCAGCTTAACCATATGAGCGCCTAAGTGCTTGTTGGCTCCCGGGAGCTGCTGTCCTGGTTTTCGTGGTCAGTACTTTGCTTTTCAGTAAGAGCTCCATCTGTACTCCTGAGTGACATAGTTTGAGACATTATATAAATGGAATCCATACATTTAGTACTTTGTTTGTCTCTCTCGTTACTGTGCCTTTAAGACCCATGGTGTCATGTGATGCTGGCACTCCTACTTTCCATGGTCGTGTAGTGTCCCACTGTCTGGGCACAGAGTAGACTCACGGCTGGGGTTTGCATACACCCGGCCTTACTGAGGTAGCATAGCTTTCCGCGAGGGGCTCCCCGCCCTGGACCCAGAACCACGGGAGCGAGGGGCTCCCCGCCCGGGCCCATGACCACGGCTAAGCTTGTGAGGAGAGGTTCCGGTGGTTGAGTGGGCGGGCGGAGCAGCCCTGTTCCTGGGGGAGGCAGGTGGGGTCTGGGACCCAGGCACCTGGGCCTCCTTTCGGGCCTCAGTTCAAACCCTGACGGCACCTCCTGTTTGGGTGCGAACGGTCCCGGCCTGCGGGGAGGTTCATTTGTGGACGTTATACGTGGTAAATGGTAGGATCCGAGCACTAATGCTCCTGGTTCTGTAAGCTAAGAGAGGGCTGGAGTGAAGAGAAATGGAAAGCTAACTGGTCTCCATCCAGCTCAAGGTCGTCTCTGCCTTGTAGATGGAAGTCAGCTTCTGGGTCGAAGAAGAGACCGAGAAAAACCAAACCTACAACCTCACGGGGCTGCGGGCCTTCACGGAGTACGAGGTGGCGCTGCGCTGTGTGGCCCAGGAGTCCGCCTTCTGGAGCGGCTGGAGCCGCGTGCACAGCGGGACCACCGAGGAGGAAGGCAAGCGCCCCGACCCCCTCGTCCCCCTCTGCCTGCTTGGGGCGGGTGGTCGGGAACCAGGGAACCCCAGTCCCGGAGCCGGGTGTCTGGGCCTTTCCTCTCAGCAGGGCCTCCCTGGCCACAGGCTGAGCCGGGTCCCAGCGCGTAGGCTACCGCAGCAGCTTTCTGTCCCCAAGGCAGGAACCCCAGAACGTGTGAGCGTATAATACTTAACAACCTCCTCCGACAACTTAAAGGTTCTATTGCAGACGCCGGAGCTCCTGCTCACCATGTACAGGCAGGGCTGACTAATGCGGGGAAGAGAAAGGACCCCCCTGGCTGAGGTGCCCCAGCCTGGCTCCGCGGGACCTCGGACAGGACACCTGTTCCCTGAGCCTCAGTGTCCTGACTATCCCTTCTCCGCACGGACTATATGGTAGAATGGAGTTTGTGGAGGTACCTACTTGTCAGTGTTAGTTTAGAGAGAGTGAAATCGTGTGTGTAGCCCACAGATGCCACCCAGTAATGCCACCCACAGATGCCACCCAGTAATGCCAGGCTTCCTGTTATTATTTGCTCCCCCTGGAGGCCCTATCGCATGTGCAGACCCACCCGTGGAGGTGAGGGGCGGAGCTGCAGGGGCTGACAGGCTGCTCAGGGGCCTGAGATGTGCTGTTCTCTGTAAATCAGGAGCCTGCGGGGCCTGACCCCCCAGCCGGCAGCCAGCACCATGTGGTGAATGAATGCATTCTCCAGGGCAGCTCTGACAGGCCCCCGAGTTTCACGGGCTGGAGTCCCCGCGTGGTCAGGGCGGTTTCCCTAGAGACAGGACGGAAGTCCAGGTGTCCTCATGGCCATTTCCCTGGAGACAGGACTGAATTGGAAGTGTCCTCAGGGCGGTTTCTCTGGAGACAGGACAGAAGTCCGGGTGTCCTCAGGGCAGTTTCCTGGTCCCCGCTTGCCGCACTGTGGGGCCAGCAATCTGGAGACCAGGTTCCCTGGGGTCTTGTCTGCACAGCCTGCCTCCTCCCGTAGCTGTCACTCCTCCCGTGACCTCCTGGCCCCTATTGCTCAGCCTCCCGTTAGCTCATCGAGGTCTGGCCTCTCTCTAGTGTCCGTGTCAGCCCCAGGCTGTCGGCCAGGATCCAGACTCAGCCTGGCAGCTGGTCGGTCTGCGGCCATGGCTGCGGGTGATCGCCGCCCAGCAGGTGCTCCGGTTCTGGGGCTGGGCTCACGCAGTCAGCACTGCCCGCCAGGTGGCCATGGGAGCTGGTGCCTTCGTTTTCCCTCATTTTTTTCAGGAAATGAGTGGGCGTGCACCTCTTGTAATTGTTTGGAATATCTAAGCGGAAACACTACCTGTTTCCTTGTGGATTCCAGCTCGTTGAGTGCTGGGCATTTACCCGCGTGTGAGCAGGTGCATATCTCCTGCGTGACACTCAGCTTTATTGCTCATGAGCTTACGGCCCCGGCGGTACGCCTCCTACCACTGTCCTCACAGAGACAGCGTGGGCGCAGCCAGCAGCTGGGCTGTGATCCCGTGGAAGGAGCTGGAACTGTTCGGCTTCATGGCGATGTGTCTGCCAGCCCGGCCAGGAAGGTCTTCATTGAACTGAAGACAGAGCAGCCAGTGCCTGGCCTTGGCAGGGAGAGCAGCGGGCTGGTTCCAGCCGGTCTGCAAGCCGCGGAGACCGAGCGCCTCCCGGCCGTCAGCCCCGCGCAGGCTGCGAGGTCCGGACCCTCCCCGGCCCCCACAGCTGGGAGCACACGTGGCTCCATTGCCCACTTGCAGTCTGTCCGTTCCCCTGCGTGGCCGTCGGGCATCCCAGCTGGCTGCAGGCAGATGCTCTCAGGGGAGTGAGATGGCACAGCAGTCCAGCACTGAGCCACACGTTCCCTCCCCGGTGCTGATGGCACCTTCTTCTGAGCTCACAGGAAGTCCTCAGAACCAGGGCGGCTTAATGTCTTCCTTTGGTTGATTCCGATCCTGCAGCCGCGCCGCTCCCACCTCACTGGTCACGCAGCACTGATCCTGCTGTCTCCCCAAGCAATCCCTTCCATGGCACCGAAACCTAACCCTTCCCTTCCCCTCCTCTTCCCTCCCCTTCTCCTCTCTCCTCTGCTCTCCCCTCCCCTCCGCCTCCTGCCGTGCTGAGCCTGTCTGTTCCCTGCAGCTCCCCTGGGCCTGGACCTGTGGAGGGTGCTGGGACCCACCTGGGCGGATGGGAGCCGCCCCGTGAGGCTGCTGTGGAAGGTGAGTGCTCTGGGGTCTTCAGTTCTCCTTTGTTTATAACCTGGGTCTCTTCCACCAGAAACTGTGATTCTTGAACTTTGACCTCTTGAATTTCCTGCCCAAGAGGCTTTATGATGCCCCAGATCGCCCAGTGGTTTCCCAGCTCAGAGCCTGTAGGTCACTTTATAGGGCTAGGGTTAGGGTTAAGGGTAGGGTTAAGGGTTAGGTTAGGGTTTAGGGTTAGGGATAGTGTTATGGTTATGGGTAGGGTTAGGTTAGGATTTAGGGTTAGGGATAGTGTTATGGGTAGGGCTAGGGTTAGGGTTAAGGTCACCTTGCAGGTCCTGGGTTGCATCCAGGCCCTGGCCCTCTGTCCTTCCATGTGGAGCATGGACGTCAGGACAGTGCAGAGGCAAGCGCAGAGGCACAGGCCGTGGGTGGGAGCCTCGTGGGCCACCTGCAGGCGGAGGCAAAGCAGGTGAAGGCTGGAAGGAAGCTGGGCTTCTCACCCAGGACTGAGGCCTGAGAGCACAGCCCATCAAGCTGGGTGCCTGGGGGTGGAGATACCCGGCAGGGCCTTCCAGGCAAGGGGTGACCCACGGCCAGGACAGCCTGGGCTTGGCTCTGCGTTTAGCTCGTGTTCTGTGTCCATGTGGGACGGAGGGAAGACGCAGTGGCAGGAAATGGGCACCGTGTGCAGCCCCCGCCCCCCCCAGCCTCTGGGCCGGAGGCCCCGTTAACGCTGATGCCAAGGGCCCAGCACATCCCTCTCTAGCCCCGGAAGAGGGGGTCCAGCACGGGTGCTGTTCACCCAGGAGGGGACCTGCCTGCGTGTCGCTTGCACAAGAGCTGGCCTCACCCCCTCCCCTCACCATCCATCACCGGCTCAGGGCCTTTCCTTGTTGTTTTTGGCAATAAACTGGGTTTCCCGTGCTCAGAAGGCCAGAGGAGCCCCGGCCCTGGAGAGAGTACTCGGCTACCACGTATGGTACTTTCCGGAAAACACCACCAACCTCACGGAGACCGTGAACACCACCCGCCAGCCGCTGGAGCTGACGCTGGGCGCCGAGGCCTACCGGGTATCGGTGGTGGCCTACAA